GCTCGGTGCCTTTTCTTTCTCCACAGGTTCCTGCTTTGGACTAAGGTGGTTCACTCCGGCGAGCGAGGTCCCTCTCTGCGGCCACGCCACCCTGGCTTCTGCGGCTGTGCTGTTTTACAAAATAAGTAATGCGAATTTCCTTGATGAACCTATCACTCAGCAAATACTTTTTCACAGTGCTCCTGCAGTCTTTCCAAAGCGTCAGAGTGACTGCTCTAAGACCAGGCGGGCTTTGTTTAATGCAACTCATGGTGCAGAAACAAGAAAGGGCGATCTTCAGTCACACCATGGTCTTTAGGAGTCAGTAGTGAAAAGCTATGGTGCCAGTTACCCAGGCTGCCACTTTGTTTGCAATAATGTTGCCTGGTGTCTATGACAAACATGGTGTGGGAAGGCATATTGGTCGGCGAGGAGGTATGACACATAGTATAATATGATATGCTATGCAGGGCCAGGGGCCCAAAAGGCACCCTTAGCCGCAAGTATGTGCCTACCCACAGTGAAATTCCACAGTGAGGGAGCCTTCTTCCTCTTCATGTTTTTTACTTAAAAACAAATCAATTTTATTGTTGTTGTTGTTGAGAGTATATACAGCGAAACATACACCAATCCAGCAGCTTCTCCGTGTACAAATAGTGACATCAATTGCGTCCTTCACATTGTGGAATCATTTTCAGCATCCTTTTTTGAGTTATTCCTCCCCTGTGAACAACGAACATACACACGCTCATGACCTCTTGGGTTTTCTATCTGCGATTTCAAGTTGCTGTTGTTAATTTGATTCTGTCTAGATAATTCCTTAAAAGAGTCTAATGTTCAAACCAACGTTATTTACCAGTTATGCAAAACTGTTTTTTGGTTTTAAGAAGACTCAAGGTGATATTTGTTTGTTTGAAAGTTTTGTTTGTAGCTTATGTGTCCCAAAATAATTTAAACCAGTTTCAAGTTTATTTTTCCTCCTTTAATAACCACTCAGAGCAGAGTTTGGGTCTGATTGATAAGGAATCTGGAGGCTTTTGTTTTTTTAATTAAACTTTTTATGGGATTTGAGTGAAAGTTTACAGAACAACTTGTTTTCTGTTCAACAATTCCTACCTATCTTGATTTGTGGTACTGATCGCATGCCCCACTCTTCCTGCTTCCTCCTTGTGGTTTACCATTTCCGCTCAGCTACCCTTCTTTCCAATCCCTTCCTGCCTCCTAAACTTTATCCCTAGGCAAATGCTGCCCTTTGGTCTTGTGTGGTTATTTGTTCTAAGGAGTGTGTAACTCCCTGGCATTATTGTTCACCTTATAGGTTGGCTTATAGCCCTGGTAGCATAGTAGTTATGCGTTGGGCTGCCAACTGCAAGGTCAACAGTTCAGAACCACCAGCTGCTGCTCAGGAGAAAGATGAGGCTTTCTATTCCTGTAAAGAGTTATCATCTCAGAAACCCACAGGGGCAGTTCTACCCTGTCCTACAGGGTCTCTGTGAGTTGGAATTGACTCAATGGCAGTGAGTTACTGGCTGAAAGTTGAGCCATGGGGCGAGGAGGGAGTTCCAGGCTTGAAGAGTGTGTAGAAGTGATAGTTGACCAGGGTGGGGGAGTGGGGCACCAGTTTTTATCTGACTAGTAAAAGATTCTTTACTTTGAACTTTGAAAGTTCATAACCCCTGCCTATATGCATACATAAGCCCTGTGAAGAGGGCTTGTAACACTCAATTCTGCTGGTTTTCATTTTGGCTGCATATAGTTTAGTAGATAGAGATCAGGGCTTTGTGGGATGGGGAAGCCCTTCAAGCAACTTTGTTCCCAATAGGAGGAAAGGGACCTTTCCTTTACAGTCTCCATCAACCAACCAGTCATTGGATGGCCATTCCTCCCCTATTCCCAGAAAGGGTCATGATCTTGGCCGTAGACAAAATAAGACTTTTTTTTTTTTTGGCCAGAGAACGTGAACAAAACCCTGACTTTTGCCACTCTGAGTGGGGAGCTAAAGGCCAGAAGAGCAGAGGATGGGATTATCCTGGATCTGCCTCTTTATCCGGCTCACCCCCAGGTCAGCACTTTCTCATTGTTGTCAGAAACTGGGCACAACAAAACACTTGCCTGCCTTTTAAGTGGTTTCATATTTCTTTCCCATCTAGGACTTCCATGAAGTAGAAGACTTGATAAAGGTTAGTTTAAAAAAAATCAAAATCAAATCTGAGCTCCTGTGATACGGTGATTTGTTTTTGTTCAAACGCAAGGAGTTGGTATCACTGGATCCCGAAACACAGTTCTCCAAGGAATCTAACTCTGGATGAGTGGTGCGCAGTGTATTTTAGGCCTTCATTTTAATAAGGGATATTTGGTGAGATGGTCTCCTAACTCTTCAAAATTTATTATTAATTGGGAGTTAATACATATATTATTTCATAGTTCAATCATGGCAAGCAGAATGGTACCATTGCTACTACAATCAGTTTCCAAATATCCCTTTTCTTCCTTGGCTCCTTGACATTGTCTCCCTTTTCTCCTTCCCCCCACCACTGTTACCCACCCCCACCCCCCACTCCCCAAACCCTTACTCTGCTTCCTCTCCCAATAGGTTCATCCCCCTTTACTCTCAGTGGTCGGCAGCTTAGCCTTGTGGTAGAATGAGGACAGGCTGCTGCTGCTGAGAGGAGAGCTGTTGGCGTTGAGAAGAGAGAAAACCAACTTCTCTGGGGCGTTGAATCTCTGTCCTCATCTAGTGAAGAGGCCAGGCAGGAACCTGGGGCATGGTCATGCAAGTTCAGCTGTGAGACTCGGGGATTTCTTACAGAAAGGGTTATTCTATGAAATTCATGCAAACAAGGGAGATCTACCAGAGCCCCTGATTGTGGCTAGGGTGGGGCTGAGGTAGAGGTGCTTTGGTGGAGGAAACAAAGATCGTTTGACTGAAAGGACCATATCTATAGCTCGGCTTCCTCACGGGACCATTATGGCAGTAGGGCTTAATAATGATGGTAGTAATGATAGTAATCGTAGCAATAATTGTAGTAGTAATAATAATTGTCATAGTGACAATAAAGGAAAATAGTGTTAAGACCATGCGCTATGTGTTTCACACATTATCCTATTTAATGCTCATGGTCACCCCTTGAGATAGGTAGTACAATTGGCCCTCAGAGGTTTCCAAGGGGCTGGGCCGCCTGTAGAAGGCAGGTGTGAGGATGCAGAGAAGGTGGGGCTGCGTGCAGGACCAAGGCAAGAACTGTCCTGAGAAAAGACGATTTCATAGAATGGCCTTCTGGGGATGCCACTGGGCGGTTTCTCAGTGAATTTTCGACTATCAACTTTAGAGTTTCTTTAGTGTTTTGCTCTAAGTTTTCAAAGACTACAAACAAGCCTCATGGATTCTGATATTGCACTCAGGCCTACCTATGACTTAAGTTTCAGAAGACAAGTCAAATTTCTAAAAAAACTGCTGGAAGCATGCTAGTTGTGGGATCCAGCCCCATATCCGAGGGGTCCTAAGGGAAAGTTGTGTAATTGAAGAGAAGAAATTAAGAAACAGACAAAATTTGGGGGTGTTTACCCCTACTATGGTATCAGGAACCAGGTCTGGGCAGGAGAGAGACAATGTATTCTTACATCAACTTATACAGTCTTTGGCATGCAAGCCCCCCTAATTACAGGTCACCACATAGTAACAAAGTGGGCAGTACCTTAACCCTAGAGGCCCCTGAGTTCATTGGAGGAGTGACCTAACACCTGTGCTAGGAACAGGTAAGGGGGAGTGACCCCTGAGCAGGGAGAACAATTGCAACATGTCTGCTCCTATAGACAAAGCTGGTGGCCAAATAGCAATCAGCCATGTGCTTGTAAGAGGTAACTTTAAGGTAGCACTATTAGGGGAGGATATTGTTCGGAATAATCTTAATTATGAGAATGTGATTGGGACTCATCTCTAACTCACAAGTGTGAAGGCCTCCCTACACCCCAAACCCTGTCTCCCAGGCTTCTTAAATATGAGAATAAGAATTTGTCTGCAAAAAAAAGAAAAAGAATTTGTCTGCATATACTCTTTTCCTGGTTCTCTGTTTCCCACAGCTAGTGAGAAAAATGGGAAAAAATATTCCTACTGTGGACCTTGTTCATTAGTGGGAAGAACTTAACCTTCCCCAAGCCTCAGGTCAGCGTTTGTGAACTAGGGATCACCAAGTGTTGCCATTTCATGTCCATCCTAGGAACGGGCAGTACGATTCCAGGTGAGAATTAAGCGTTCACATCGATATGAGTGCATAGAGGGAAGGCGAGATTAGGAGGGCACAGGGGATCCGGCCTCAGGAATATCCCTATTTCTAGCGAAGGAATGTTAGACAAGTGTGAGCAGACAGGCCAGGCACAGCCTGATGCCCAGCGCATCTTGGTCATGGAAACTTGAACTTATTTGTCCCTCACAAGGAGTAGATCACCTGAAGCCACCTTTGATGGCCATTCTCTCCTCTGCTTAGGAGCTAGGAGTGCCACTAAGGGAGGAGGGAGTGCCATTTGTCCTCTCATAATCCCACACACACACCCCAACACACAATGTTCTTAGCTATGAGTAAGATTTCGTGCACTCTTAAGGCAAATCAAGGTATCTTTAGAAAAGGCTGGACGCTATTGATCTGTCACATTCAGTCTAAGGGGAAATAAGGCGCTTGCTGAGCAAAGCATCAGAATGAGTCCTGCAGTCCCTATGTCCATTTGAACTGCCTCTCCTGAGCCTTGCCATTCACAATGGTCTAGATGCTGCTGCAGGTATTCTACATCGGTTTTTTTTTAAAGCTCTTAATTTATTTAATCACGTTATCGGGGGCTCTTACAGCTCTGACAACATTCCATACATCATTTGTATCAAGCATATTTGTACCTATCTACATAGATTTCATTAATCTTCACAATAACTCTAAGAGGTAGGTATGATTTCCCCCTCTAAAGACAGTAAGTAGGTCAAAGTGATGGAGAACCTTGGCTCCTAGGTCACTGTGGGTCATCAAGATGTGTGTGTGATGTATGTGTAACTCTGGGCCTTTCTTTCTTTCTTTTTTTTTTTTTTCTTTTTCCCCCAAACCTCTTTTTTTTTTTATTTTAATACTTCTATTGGGGGCACTTACATCTCTTATTACAAGCCATACATTCCTCCAATGTGTCAAGCACATGTGCACTTATGTCTGGGCCGGCCTTTCTTAGACTCTTTCTTTTCCATGGGAAAGTATCTACGTGAAGGAGTTGTGTATGTCAAGGCGGGTGGTAAGCTCTTGTGAACAATGCGGAGGAGGGGCTCTAATCTGCGGCTCATAAGAATAAGCTGAAGGGCCTCTCGGAGGTTGCTTTGGTAGCCGGGAAACTGGCCTTCCCTGGACACTAACCTGAGCCCCCAAACGGAACTAAGGGATGAGGGACAACAAGTCTGCCTGACACAGGGCAGAGGGGTAAAGAGGGGCTGGTTTACCCAGGGCTGCTCCTGAGGGGCTGTTGGGTTGTCATTGCAGACTGCCATTGGGGACACTCTGGTCCAGGACATTTGCTATTCCCCGGATACCCGGAAGCTCCTGGTCCGGCTCAGTGACACTTACAACAGGTACAAAGCTTGGACCTCCTAAGTGCAGATGTCTAGCTGGGGCGTGGCCTGGCTGTGTCCTCCAGTCAGATGGTGATTTCCCTGTCCGTGAACTTCTTCCGCTCTGCCGGTAGGAAGGTGCTGCTCATTTGCTCTTCCTTCCCCTTCTGCTGAGCAGTTCTGGGCCAGCAGCACCCTGGCCTGCGGGACAGAGTCTGTGTAGAGGGTGGTCTGTGACATGTGTTTCTCTTGATCCATCCGTTTATGAACAAGGGCATTTCTGGAGGACCTGAAAGTCAACACCCAGGATCTACCGCAAGTGGAAAACTCGGGGAAGGTGAAAGGACTCATTCTCACTGTTAAAGGAGAGGCTGGAGGGCAGAGCCGCGCGTTTGACTTTTACTCCAGATACTTCGCGCCGTGGGTCGGTGTGGCTGAGGACCCCGTGACAGGTATCTTTCCGCTTGGGCTCAGGGGACGGTTAAATGATGGTGGCGAGGGTTAGCAGAGCTGCTGAGATCCCCTTAGGGGACTTCTCAGGGTGTTTGGGTTTCGAACTACCTTTGTTTCTCTCTCTCCCGTTCCGCTGGGTTGACTGACTTTCCTTTCAAAGCACAAAATAAAAGAAGGCCGAGTTTAGTGTCAGGCAGCCTGGGTTTCCATCCTAGCTTTCTACTCTCAACCATGGGCACGCTACTCATGCTTACTCTCCGTTTCCCTTCCCTTCTCTGTAATCGGTGATACCTCCTTGGGTATGCCAACACAAAGCAGTTAAGTGCCTGGGACATAGTCAATGCTCAATAGCGATTCTTTCTCTCTCTCTCTCTCTCTTTTTAAACCATCACCTGTAACACAAGCTCACTGCCCTTCTTTGCCCCTCCCTCCCCACTGGCCTCCAGACTGCTGGTAAACGATAAACTATAAGCTATTTTAATCATGACAATGAAACTGGCTTCCCGAATCAGCCCGTGCAAAGTTGTAATTTGCAAAATTCAGAAGCTGATTCCAATAGCTTCCCGAAGCCCTTTGCTCCTTCTTCAGGGACAGGCTTCTCAAGAATCCTGGTGGCGTCTTTGACGACTAGATAAGGCTTGGCTTGCGAAGGAAAACGTCCCGGGCCTCAGATGGTGGATAGGCACAGGGATTTAATTTTTTAAATTACTTTTATTGGGGGCTCTTACATCTCTTATCACAATTCATTCATCCGTCCAGTATATCAAGCTCATCTGCACATTTGCCGCCATCATCTGCAAAGCATTCTCTCCCCACCTGAGCTCCTGATGTCAGCTCCCCAGTTGTTCCCCCTCCTTCCCATGCCCTCCCTCCCTCATGAACCCTTGATAAGCTATAGATTATTATTTCCATATCTTACATCGTCCTCCATTGCTCCTCATCCACATTATTCGTCCCCCTGGAAGGGTGTTGTAGGTTGATCCTTGTGATCGATCCCCCCTTTCTCCCCCTCCCTTATCTAATCCTCCTGGTATCTCTACTCTCACTGTTGGCCCTGAGGGGTTTATCTATCCTGGATTCCCTGTGTTGCGGGCTCTTCTCTGTAGCAGTGTGCATGTTCTGGTCTAATCTGATTTGTAAGGTAGAATTGAGGTCATGATAGTGGGGTGAAGGAAGCACCAAAGAACTAGAGGAAAGTTGTGTGTTTCATCGGTGCTCTACTGCTCCTGATTGGCTCATCTCTTTCCTGTGACCTCTCTGTGAGGGGATGTCCAATTGTCTACAGATGGGCATTGGGTTTCCACTTCATGTCCCCCTTCCATTCATTCACATTGGGTATGATTTTGTTCTGGGTCTTAGATGCCTGATACCCGATCCCATCGACACCTCATGATCACACAGGCTGGTGTGCTTCTTCAATGTGGGCTTTGTTGCTTCCCTGCTAGATGGCTGCTTGTTTATCTTCAAGCCTTTAAAACCCCAGGTGCTATATCTTTTGATAGCTGGGCACCATCAGCTTTCTTCATCACATTTGCTTATGCACCCATTTTGTCTTCAGTGATCATGTCTGGAAGGTGAGCATCTCAGAATGTCAGATTGTTAGAACAAAGTGTTCTTGTGTTAAGGGAGTACTTGAGTGGAGGCCCCATGTCCATCTGCAACCTTAATTCTTAACATATTGATATGAGTACATAGATCTATTCCCCTCTCATTATATATATATTTACATATGTACATGTCTGTATTTAGACCTCTACAAATGTCCTTTGCCTCCTGGTTCTTTCCTCTATTTCCTTTTACTTTCCTTTTGTCCCACCATCATGTTTAGTCTTCATTTGGGTTTAGTAATTCCTTGCTGCTACATTGCCCTTGATTAAGCCCAACTAGGCATCCTATGACCTTCCTTCCATTGATTTTAGTTCACTTGTTGTTCCCTTTCCCTGGGTTGGTTCCCCTCCCCCCCCACACACACCTCCTTCCTTTCTCCCACCTCCCCTTCTCCCATATCCCCCCCGGAACTATTGGTTCCATTCTTTTTCATCTCTGAATTATTTATCCCACCTATCTTATCTAGATAGACATGCAGATACATTAATAAGTGCAAAAACCTGGCATAGTCAAATCAAATAACAAAGGAAGTCAAATCCCACAGAACAATAACAACAAAAAAACAAAATAACAATAACAAAAAGAAAGCCACTGACAAAAATGGAAAAGCTTATAAATAGTTCAAGTTCTGTTTATTGGCCTTTACAAGTGTTTTCCAGTCAAGTCTGATGGGGTGCCACACTCTGTCTCCAAAGTCTATTTTTGGTGTTCCCCAGGGATTTCATCACTTTGCTCCCCTTGCTGCTCTGTTGCATGCCCTCAGTGCCTCGACCCTGACCCTGTGATGGGGTCAGATTGGGCACAGTTCCCGCACTGTCTACAGTGTTGTATACCCCATTACATCGTGGTTCAGTGACGGACATCGCATCTCGTGGTGGGGTTGCCCCTAGGGTCCTCCCCGTGCGTTGTCTCCTCTGAGCAGGAACATCATCCTCGGGGCTTGGTGGGCCAGGTTTTCCTCCAGGGAGAGCATTTCTTTTCCTCTTCTCCTTTCTTAGTCCTGTCCCTATAGGGAGTGGGATGGGTTTGGGACCTCACACTAGTTTGAGGTGAAGGGCTGAGAACAGAGCTGGGCAGCAATACCCAGTCTCCTGCTTTCCCCATTCAGGAGAGCAGTGGGCTGAGCAGCAAAAGGTCAGGAAGTTGGAAGAAAGCCTGGTCGTGTGGGGCGCAGGGCAGAGGGAGTATGGGCAGAGGCATTGAGGTTCCGATTTGGGGAGAAGGCTTCAGGACGGAGATTACCTCTCTGAGGGACAAAGTACCTGAAAGGCAGAAAACAGCAAGTGAGCACTTTGAAAGATTCAGGAAAAGGCCCAAAGACATCCAGACCATCAAACTCCAACCCTTCCTGTGGACAAGAAGTTCTAGGCATATTTGCACATGAATAGGTGCTTCCCAAAGATTCTAATTGGTACAGAGGTAAGACTCATTTCTATAATAATGCTTTTCAAGGTACAAAGGTCTTTGGACAGCAAGTGCTATGTGGAACCCTCGATCTCCCCACCATGAGCTGGTGATAAGCACAAGACTCAGCTACAATGGAATGCAGCCTTCCAAAACTATGACACAGATTGAAGACTTCATTTGGAGAGGTTTAACCACAAATTCTGTGGTCATCTTGCTACCTCCCAGTTTCACGTCTTTGTTGTGGCCATGGCCAATATAATAATTAGATTGACGAAGGCTTAGTCAAACTGGAATCATTTGGATGATAGATTGTAGTTGCTGGTAAATTGACCACAAAGCCTCCGGGATTGACTTACAACTTTTTGGTTTTTTGAAGGGTCTGCACATACTGTTCTCAGCAGCTACTGGTCCCAACAACTGGGGAAGAAAGAGATGCATGGTAGGATCACTCTTTTCCCATTTCCTTTTTTATTTGCCAGTGGTTATGTGTTAGGCTGCTAACTGCAGGGTTAGCAGTTTGAAACCATCATCTGCTCTGAGGGTGAAAGATGAGGTTTTCTACCCTGTAAACAGTTACAGTCTCAGAAACCTACAAAGATAGTTCTACCCTGCCATATAGGGTCACTATGAGTCCGAAATAACCCCATAGCAGTGAGTTTGGTTTTTGGTTTTAAACTCTATGCTAAGGAGCCCTAAGGCATAGCACTTACAGACTTAGGTGCTAAATGGGAGGTTGGCAGTTCCAACCCACTCGGCAGGTCTGAAGGAGAAGGACCTGGTGATGGATTTCCATAAGGATTACAGCTAAGTAAGTGCTATGGGCGTTATACTCATCTGATGGGGTTGCTATGAGTCAGATCCACTGGTAGCATTCAACATCAATCACTGTAAGTTGGTCTTCCTTTGCCTATTTATTATCAATTTGAAAATATAATGCCATGCTATTTACAATCACATAGAAACAAAAGGTTTTAAAACTTCTTCCTCTTTAACCTTTCCCCCCAAACAGCCACTTTCTATACCCACCCTCCACCGACCATTCCAATAAATGTTTATCCAAAACCAAAACCAAGCCATTGCTGTTGAGCTGGGTCCGACTCATGGGCCCCTCTCAGACATAGTAGAACTGTGCCATAGGGTTTCCAAGGCTGTGGTCTTGTGGGTTAAGCATCAGGCTG